AAGACATGTGGTATGTCAGTTATATAATACATGTCCCTGTGGTATGTCAGTTATATAAGACATGTCCCTGTGGTATGTATGTCATATAAAACATGTCCCTGTTGTATGTCAGTTATATAAGACATGTCCCTGTTGTATGTCAGTTATATAAGACATGTCCCTGTGGTATGTTAGTCATATAAAACATATCCATGTGGTATGTCAGTTATATAATACATGTCCCTGTGGTATGTCAGTTATATAAGACATGTCCCTGTTGTATGTCAGTTATATAAGACATGTCCCTGTTGTATGTCACAGTCATATAAGACATGTCCCTGTGGTATGTCACAGATATATAAGACATGTGGTATGTCAGTTATATAAGACATTTCCCTGTGGTATGTCAGTGATATAAGACATGTCCCTGTGGTATGTCAGTTATATAAGACATGTCCCGGTGGTATGTCAGTTATATAAGACATGTGGTATGTCAGTCATATAAAACATGTCCCTGTTGTATGTCAGTTATATAAGACATGTCCCTGTTGTATGTCACAGTCATATAAGACATGTCCCTGTGGTATGTCGGTTATATAAGACATGTCGCTGTGGTATGTCAGTTATATAAGACATGTCCCTGTGATATGTCAGTTATATAAGACATGTCCCTGTGGTATTTCACAGTTATATAAGACATGTGGTATGTCAGTTATATAACACATGTCCATGTGGTATGTCAGTTATATAAGACATGTCGCTGTGGTATGTCAGTTATATAAGACATGTCCCTGGGGTATGTCAGTGATATAAGACATGTCCCTGTGGTATGTCAGTTATATAAAACATGTCCCTGTGGTATGTTAGTTATATAAGACATGTCCATGTGGTATGTCACAGTTATATAAGACATGTCCCTGTGGTATGTCAGTTATATAAGACATGTTCATGTGGTATGTCAGTTATATAAGACATGTCACGGTGGTATGTCAGTTATATAAGACATGTCCATATGGTATGTCAGTGATATAAAACATGTCCCTGTGGTATGTCAGTTATATAAGACATTTCCCTGTGGTATGTCAGTCATATTAGACATGTCCCTGTGGTATGTCAGTCATATAAGACATGTGGTATGTCAGTTATATAAAACATGTCCATGTGGTATGTCAGTTATATAAGACATGTGGTATGTCAGTCATATAAGACATGTCACTGTGGCATGTCAGTGATATAAGACATGTCCCTGTGGTATGTCAGTTATATAAGACATTTCCCTGTGGTATGTCAGTCATATTAGACATGTCCCTGTGGTATGTCAGTCATATACGACATGTCCATGTGGTATGTCAGTTATATAAGACATGTGGTATGTCACAGTTATATAAGACATGTGGCATGTCAGTCTTATAAGACATGTCCCTGTGGTATGTCACAGTTATATAAGACATGAGGTATGTCAGTCTTATAAGACATGTCCCTGTGTGGTATGTCAGTGATATAAAACATGTCCCTGTGGTATGTCAGTTATATAAGACATTTCCCTGTGGTATGTCAGTGATATAAGACATGTCCCTGTGGTATGTCAGTTATATAAAACATGTCCCTGTGGTACGTTAGTTATATAAGACATGTCCCTGTGGTATTTCACAGTCATATAAGACATGTGGTATGTCAGTTATATAACACATGTCCATGTGGTATGTCAGTTATATAAGACATGTGGTATGTCACAGTTATATAAGACATGTCCCTGTGGTATGTTAGTCATATAAAACATATCCATGTGGTATGTCAGTTATATAATACATGTCCCTGTGGTATGTCAGTTGTATAAGACATGTCCCTGTGGTATGTCACAGTCATATAAGACATGTCCCTGTGGTATGTCGGTTATATAAGACATGTCGCTGTGGTATGTCAGTTATATAAGACATGTCCATGTGGTATGTCACAGTTATGTTATATAAGACATGTGGTATGTCAGACATATAAGACATGTCCCTGTGGTATGTCAGTCATATAAGACATGTGGTATGTCAGTTATATAAAACATGTCCCTGTGGTACGTTAGTTATATAAGACATGTCCCTGTGGTATTTCACAGTTATATAAGACATGTGGTATGTCAGTCATATAAGACATGTCCCTGTGGTATGTCACAGTTATATAAGACATGTGGTATGTCAGTCTTATAAGACATGTCCCTGTGGTATGTCAGTCATATAAGACATGTCACGGTGGTATGTCAGTTATCTAAGACATGTCCCTGAGTCATATAAGACATCTCCCTGTGGTATGTCGTATATAACTGTGACATAACACAGGGGCATGTCTCATATAACTGACATACAAAATGTCTTATATGCCTGACATACCACAGGGACATGACTTATATAACTGACAGACCACAGGGACATGTTTTATATGACTTCGACATACAACATGGACATGTCTTATATTACTGACATACCACAGTGACATGTCTTATATACCTGACATACCACAGGAACATGTCTTATATAACTGACAGACCACAGGGACATGTATTATATGACTTCGACATACCACATGTCATATATAACTGTGACATACCCCAGGGACATGTCTTATGTCACTGACATACCACATTTCTTATATAACTGACAGACCACAGGGACATGTTAAATATTACTGACATTCCACAGGGAAATTGCTTATAAGACTGGCATTCCACAGGGACATGTCCCTGTGGTCTGTCAGTTATATAAGTCATGTCCCTGTGGTATATCAGTTATATAAGACATACCACAGGGACATGTATTATATGACTTCGACATACCACATGGACTAACTGACATATCACAGGGAAATGTCTTATATAACTATGACATACCACATGTCATATATAACTGTGACATAACACAGGGGCATGTCTTATATAACAGACATACCACAGGGACATATTTTATATGACTGACAGACATACCACATGGAAATGTCTTATATAACTATGACATACCACAGGGCCGTGTTTTATATGACTGTGACATATAAAACATGTCCCAGTGGTATGTCACAGTTATATAAGACATGCCGCTGTGGTATGTCAGTGATATGTCCCTGTTGTATTGCAGTCATATTAAACATGTCCCTTTGCTATGTCAGTCGTATAAGACATGTCCCGGTGGTATGTCAGTTATCTAAGACATGTCCCTGGGGTATGTCACAGTTATATATGACATGTGGTATGTCGGTTATATAAGACATGGCGCTGTGGTATGTCAGTCCATATAAGACATGTCACGGTGGTATGTCAGTTATGTAAAACATGTCCCTGTTGTATGTCACAGTCATATAAAACACGGCCCTGTGGTATGTCAGGTATATAAGACATGTCACGGTGGTATGTCAGTTATACAAGAAATGTCCATGTGGTATGTAACAGTTATATAAGACATTTCCATGTGGTATGTCGAAGTCATATAATACATGTCCCTGTGGTCTGTCAGTTATATAAGCCATGTCCATGTGGTATGTTAGTTATATAAGACATTTCCCTGTGATATGTCTTATATAACTGTTACATACCACATGGACTAACTGACATATCACATGTCTTATATAAGTGACATACCACAGGGCCGTGTTTTATATGACTGAAATACCACATGAACATGTCTTATATAAGTGACATACCACAGGGGCATGTCTTATATAACAGACATACCACAGGGAGATGTCTTATATGACTGACATACCACAGCGCCATGTCTTATATAACTGAGACATACCACAGGCACATGTCTTATATAGGACATGTCTTATATGGACTGACATACCACAGGTACATGTCTTATAAGACTGACATGCCACATGTCTTATATGACTCAGGGACATGTCTTAGATAACTGACATACCACAGGGCCATGTTTTATATGACTTCGACATACCACATGTCTTATATGACTCAGGGACATGTCTTAGATAACTGACATACCATATGTTTTATATGACTTCGACATACAACATGGACATGTCTTATATAAGACATGTCACGGTGGTATGTCAGTTATATAAGACATGTCCATGTGGTATGTCGAAGTCATATAAGACATGTCCCTGTGGTATGTCAGTTATATCAGACATGTCCCTGTGATATGTCAGTTATATAAGACATGTGGTATGTCAGTTATATAAGAAATGTCCATGTGGTATGTCGAAGTCATATAAGCCATGTCCCTGTGATATGTCAGTCATATAAGACATACCTCTGTGATAAATCAGTCATGACATATAAGAATTGTCCCTGTGATATACATGTCCATGTGGTATGTCAGTCAGATAAAACATGTCCCTGTGGTATGTCAGTTATCTAAGACATGTCCCTGTGATATGTCAGTTATATAAGACATGTGGTATGTCAGTCATATAAAACATGTCCCTGTGGTATGTCAGTCATATAAGACATACCTCTGTGATAAGTCAGTCATGACATATAAGAATTGTCCCTGTGATATTAATTCTCAAATGTACTCGATGATTGAGTTAAATTGTTACAATTGAGTAAAAAATGCAAGTATAGTTGATTTTTTTTCAATTTTTAAGTCTTTGATTGTTTAAGTCTTTGATTGTTTTAAGTCTTTGATTGTTTAAGTCTTTGATTGTTTCAGTCTTTGATTTTTTAAGTCTTTGATTGTTTCAGTCTTTGATTTTTTAAGTTTTTGATTGCTGTTGTGATCATTCTTTAATGGCGTCTTCCCTAATGTTATAATTTATTAATGTCTTGTGTCCCTGATCAACAAGAAAAGCATTTGGAGTTTATGAAGGGTTGATACTTATAATGATTTCATACAGTGTAGTATCGACTGTATTGAAAATGATTTAGATTTAAAACAAATTAAAAATCAATCTTACAAAAACGTGTAAAAACTGAAATAATTTCTATTACATTGCATTTGTTTTAATGAAAACAAAACACGTGCACGGTATGTTGTGTGTACAAACGTAATATACAGTAAACACACAGACTCAGAACTTACCGCATACATTGACGTACAGTTGAACATGTTAAAGCCGTTCGGCTGTGCTTGTGTCACCGAGAGACAGACTACAAGTCCCATGTATAACAGGTACTCCATGGCGGGCTGTATCCAGGAAGTTAGTATATTTACGCCACAGGTAGATATCTATAGACACAGGTGCTACTCTCCCAGACTTGGACCAGGTGATCACCACTGTCCCATGTCACAGGCGTCTGTCGAATGTTCCTGATCACTAACTCATATATATAGGACAACCAACACTTTCCTGAAGTTTATCTTTCCACTAAGGAAGTAAACACGTCTTCTCAACTTTCATCACGTTTGTGTGTCAGGTCAATCTGAGCGTCTTTGTAACGGTTGTCTCCCTTGATTCAAGGCAGTTCGAGTTTCTTGGTAATCATACAACTATGACAATAAAATTAGGTCAACAGGTACGGTGGGACCAATGTATTTGTAAATGCTGATTTTGTTAATCAAATAGCTTATTTGTATACCTATATTTAAATATGTGTTTTAAGTGTGTAAGTCTCAACACATATTTCCTATTAAAGTACTATAGGTCTATGCTTTTACATATAACATTGATAGACCCTCTTAAAAATGTGTATTTATAATGCACGATCCTTGTTGTGACTCATAATGTAATATACGTCACAGATAAACATACTAGTGTGCTGTATCGTACCCGGTAATTACAAATACCGGGAATCAGTCACGAGCCCGTATTGAGTGTCTGGTCACAGTTAAATAAATTAAATCCTGGTAGAGGGCAAGTAATGATCCTCTACACCAGACTCAAAATAAAATACACATTTCACAATAAACTCAATTCTCACATTTCAGGTCATGGATGAATGCGTTTGAGTGAAGCCCAATATTTTTTGGTGAAGTCATTATTTATACGCTGTCTGGTGGCTAGTGGGAAAAATAATTGTATGTTTATGTTATTAAATATTTAGATCTAAGAGCGAAGAAAAAAATGATTTCTTTAAACTGATGTTACAGAAAATAATTTAAATGATATTACTAAAGGTATAATCGGCACCCATTACTCTGAACATAACATTCCGATTATTGACAATCGTTATGGAAATCTATGGTTATAAAATGAAAAAAAATATTCAAACTGATGATTATGATCGTACAAAACAATAATCACTGTTTTAGACCACCCACAATAAATAGATATCAAATAGTTCAATAGTGCATTTTTGATGTGCATGCAACTGATTATTTTCTTCCATGGCAGCTACGCCTAGTTATTGTCACTACTCGCAGCTACACGTAGACAAAGTTTCGTCTTTCGTCAGAATGTTTCTGGCTGTTAATCCGTCAATAGGCGACTTGTTTGTTACTTCGATAAAAGATTTTGGGGTAAAATGTGTGCAGGAGTGTTCTCATCAAACATGGAATTGGCCTTGTTAATGCGATACAAAAAAAAAATCCGATTCTCTTTATGCATGAACAGTTTATTATAAGCTTATAATCTAGTTCTCCAAAGGGGAACCCCCAACCCCACAATTACAAGTATTGGTATCATCGAAAATAAATTGAGCATTGTCAATGTTTTTTTAAAGACTTAAAGGACGATTCGTGAACACTTTATTGTTGACAGCATCAAGCCTGTTACCAGGAGGAAGTATAAAGCCATCAGTGCATTGAACAGCATCTGATGAAGCCGGAATATGATTGGAGTTTTTTATGGTGTTTTTTTTTCAATATGCTTGTGATAGCGGTTTCCTGCCCCATTCTTCCATACTATCTGAACGTTTGTCGTTGATTTTTAATATTTTGGTGTCATCTGCAAAGAGAGACATAAGAGTTCACCATGTCCGGAAGATCGTTTACAAACATTGCAAATAATATTGGACCAAAAATGGACCCTTGTGGAATTCCTGACGATTCTTGTCCACCCTTTGCGTTCTGTTTCGCAAAAAAATCAAAGTAACATCTATTTGATAATTTGTTTGATTTCAGCTTATTTCGAAGCCTTTTGTGTTTAACAGTATCCAGTGACGTAGCAAATCGTTTTTCGGAGTGTATTCTTATCGATGGTCGAACGTTTGAGGCGCGTAGCATCGGAGGAGGCGAGGGTATAGGTCCCATATCTGGGAAAAAATGTACTAGGCCTTAGAAGCAATCTCCCGTGTTCTTGGAACTCCGTTTAGTCTGATTATCACTAAATACAACACGACTTTTAATATGAATAATATTAAAGAGATATGGCGGGTTGCTATGCCTATTTCCCCAAAGCTATGTTACGCTAGTGCGCGCATCCAACCGTGCACTGTTATGACGCGTCCTCAGGTATTTTTTTATACAGGTAGCAATATCGGAATCCCGTGTCTAAGAATATATTATTGTTAACAGACCACATATTTGGTATTTCGGCATTATTTGTTGGTGTTTAAGCACTTGATATAATTACTATTGCCAGTTGGAGGGTAAACAATTCATAAATTTCATCAAAAATAGTGTCTTACCTACAAAGCGTAGCTGTACTGTACACGTGTACATGGATTTGTTGACATGCTTCGATAGAAGTATGTCGCACTAAATAATAAAGAAATTATTACTAACAAAACTGATAAATCAATAGGTTTGTTATTAAAATGTAAACAAAATCTTCCATCGATTTAAAAAAAACACCATTGCCTTATTAAGGAAAATGATCACATGCCTAAATATTTAATAAAAAAATATAACTGAAGTAGGATTCGAACCTGCACCGTTTATTTTCTAGTCGCAAGTAAACTGCGTTACACATTCGGCTACATAGAACATATAGATATTGGCAATTAAGAACTTATTTAACTCGAGAAACACTGGTCGCAGTTTAGAGAAACTTAATCACCCCTGTTTTTCAATATTTTGAGCACTTTCCCAAAGGAGGACCACTTTTCCGTAACACGATTTGTTTTTGCATATTACATCACGGTCACAAAAAAAAATATTCAAAAGTTGGTCCTCGGATGGGAAAGTGTTGAAAGTAATTTTTTAACTCCGGGAAATCCCATCTCTTTCATAGATATAGTGTATATGGCTATATTTGCATTATCATATTAGCAATTCCTAATTTCTCAGCAGTTTAAAAATTCATATTCAATTGGTTTTGTATCTTTTGTATGCATTTTTGCTACACGAAATGTTTTACTCCTTAATTTTTTCCCCCGTTTTCATAAATGCCGACTTAGGGAAATACGGGCAGTTTTCCGCCATATCTCTTTCGAACTTCACTAAGTAGTTTTTGATTAACATCAAACTTCGAGATTTTTCAATGTGTACAGACATAACATAACACTATTTTATCAGACTAACATTTTCAAGAAGATGTTTTTAATTCCTTTCCATTTTTAAGATTGATACGGATGGTCCATATTAATAATAAAGAAAATAAAAAAATAAAAATGAATGATTAAAAAAAAAATCCTTGAATTTTAGTGTATGCTTGAGCCGTATACAATATTACATGTATGCTACGCCACTGGTATCAAATGGTTTTTTTTATATAATCTAAATATAATCAGATTTAAGGGCATAGGACGGTTTTGAAGTTGTTGACAATTCGGAAGAAACCAGAATAAATTACCGAGAAGCCCATAAGGTATATCTGTTCCCACATTTGTGAACACATTTTCACAAAAACAAATCATCATTCATGAAACAATAGAAACTATAAAGATTCTCGTTTCTTTTATAACACGAAATTGTACTCCTTTAAATTATCCTCACCTTTTGTTCGGCAACTGACCAATCTGATTAAAATCCTGTTACATGGCTCCGTTCACATCGTACTACGTTCAGGCGGAGCCATGTAACAGATGATTTTAATGAGATTGACAACTGACCTTCAAACGTTGAGGTAGACTGCCCAATCTGTCCATTTACTTTCATGATATTGGCAAAACCCGAATATTTAATTATTAATGTTGTCCTCTTCCCCCTCCCATCCATACATCATTCGACAATATGTCATTGTAATTTCAGTAATATGCCGGTAATTACTGCCTTTCAGACATATTTACAAATGCGCGCTTTTTATAAAATGTATTTACATCTGTTGGCAAGCGGATCTTGCTCTTGGGTATAGTGTATATAAAATATTCAAATTCCATGAAAAGATTTGTTCAATGAGGGAAAAAAAATGATTGTTTTAAATAGTGTTGCGTTGTTTTTTTTATCTTTATTTGAAATGACTTCCGTACAAGATGTAGTGGCTTTAAACTAGCGCACGAAATAAATCCGAAGGCGACCTCCAAAAAGTGGCATTAACCTAGACCGGATCATCAACCTCCTATTGACAAATCTATGACTGATTAGGATTGTTTGTGCTTTTGCATTTTTCCGTTTTGATTTTCATTTCGAGAAAGCGAAAAAGTACATTTTTTATGGAATAATCAACATATGTCGAGTTATATAAATGTATATGGCAGCAAAAATTAGCAAAGGACTTCAATTTATCAAATTTAATGTAAAAAAAAATCATTAACCAGCGATGTCAGTGAAAGCTGTAACTTCTAGTGTTTCGGGATTTTGAGTAATATATGACGTAAATCGTAATACGTTCGGTGAATAATAAACCTATACACACCAGTAAATAACAGCAATACGTTTTATCCTGTGTTTATACATTCTAAAACCTTATACAAATTGAGAGTACCGAAGTATAAAAAAGTAAGGTTCGCCTTCGGACTTGAAGCGTTTTCAGGTTGAAAGCTCCTATATATACATGTATTTTAAAGATAATTCAAATAAAGATAAAAAAAAACCACACCAATGCAATCAATATTTACATCAATTAGTTTTTTTCCCTCACTAAACAAATCACTTGGACTCGATTCCCCTTAATTTGTATAAGGTTTTAGAATGTGTTTAAACACCGGATATCAAGTATTGCTGTTATTTACTGGTGTGTATAGGTTTATTATTAACCGAAAGTATTACGATTTACGTCATATATTACTCAAAATCCCGAAACCTCGTTTACGGAAAGTGCCGATGGTTCCCGATTGTGTAAAGGTATTTCCTTATGGTGTTTTAGGACTGTTTTGGCAAATTAAAATTTTACTTTCGATACGCTCCCATTTGATTTTGTTTAAAAAATATAAGCATGCGATTTCGATATGTTGAATTGCCTCTATCTTTCAATGCTTCCCCTCGTCCCATTGCGGGAATTCTAGGTTTTGATAATTCATCAAATGATGTTCGTTTGTCTGGTTTTGCACTCGACACCTTTTTTGTTAGTTGTTCTATTTAGACAGAGTTCTAATTTTAACACTATAATGCTTTTGGCACTTTCATATCCGATTAATGCAATATATATGTGAGTGCGTGTGTGTGCTATGTGTGCTTGGGCTAGTGAATTTCGGTAAATTCTGACTTTATATAACAGCCAGCTGACATTTTGAATTAGGTTATTGGTACACCTTTTCGTCTGTTTTGGGAAGGATCACTCATGTAATCCTATATCCTTTTTAAATGCATACATTCCTTCCGAATAAATGA